TGGCACGATCTTGACACACCTATCTCGCCTCCTTCACATCCATACACCCACGCATACATGCTCGTCGGTTAAGGGTACTCCTAATTTGGCCCGTTTTCAATAAATCGCCAATGTGGTCGATAAATTTTCGCCTACGACGTCCCTTTCCGACTCTGCCATTAATTTCTGCAACATAAATTTTCCTTGTCACTCTTTCCTCATTCATTCTTTCGACATGACCATACCACCGAAGCATTCCTTTCTTAATCCTGGTCACAACATCATCTTGCAAACCACACTCTTCTCTTATTACACAATTTCTTACCCTGTCATTCAGATTCAGCCCTAACATACTCCTTAACGACCGCATTTCTACTGCGTTCATTCTACTCTCGTTCTTCTTCTGCCACACCCAACTTTCACTACCATAACGTTAAAGTACCACTGAGAAGAAAAAGGGACCAACACAGCACTGTGAATTGCCATACGTGCCTTTTCGATACATTTTGACTCTTCACAATAGTGTAGGGCCCCATTTATTCTATTTCCTGCATTCACTCGTCGTTCTATATACTTATCACATCTCCCATCCCTGCTAAAAACGCAACCTAGATATACAAACTCATCTACTTGCTCGATCAACTCCCCTTCTATTCTTATTTCACATATCGTCTTACTTTCTTCTCTTTCAAAAACCATAACTTTCGTCTTACTTGCGTTCACTTTCATACCCCTTTCTTTTAATGATCTGTTCATTAAAGTAACCATCATTTGCAGCTCGACCGCCGACGAAGCAAGAATAACTTGATCATCGGCGTACAAAAGGCATTTGACGGTTAACTCACCCATTCTTAATCCGCATTCTTCAACTTTCAAATTTTGCAAACAACTGTCCATAAATAGGTTGAACAGCCACGGTGAAGCCACACAGCCCTGTCTGACACCTTTATGAATGCCAAACCAGTCCGAGTAGACCCCGTTGATCCTAACACAAGCACTAAAGTCCCTATAAAGCGACTTCAATGCCTGTATCAAGCCAGCGTTCAACCCAAATGAATTCAGTGTTTGCCATAGCACATCCCTATCCACTCTGTCATAGGCCTTTTCCAAGTCCATGAACGCACAAAAAACCTTTTGGTTTTTGTCCAAAAACTTTTCCGCGATCATGCGCATGGAAAAGACTTAATCTGTACATCCCATTCCCTTTCTAAATCCCGCTTGCACATCCCAAATTTTTTCATCAGTTTCTTTCATGATCCTTTCAATCAGTACCTTAGCATACGGTTTTCCCACAATGCTAAGAAGGCTGATACCACGGTAGTTTTTACAGTTCTGCTGCCACCCTTTTCCTTTATATACTGGGACTATCACGGCTTTGCACCAGTCTACCGGTACCCGCTTCCGTTCCCAGCATAAATTAAACAAGGTGTGCAGCAGGCCTGCCACCACTTCCTCTCCAGCCCTTAGCATTTCGCGTGAAACTCTGCTTTCATTCTTTTTATTGCTTTCATTATTTCATCTATACTTATCTCGCTACCTCTTTCCTTTTCTTTCGGAGTTTCTACTTCATTTATTTTATACGTTGTCTCCTCACTCATAAAAACGCTTTCAAAATATGCCTTCCATCTCTTTAAACTCAAAACTTCATCATTCAGAATATAGCCATTCTCATCTCTTATAGCATTCACAGGCTGTTTTGAATGTCCCCTGGCAGTTCTTACGAGTTTCCAGAATATTTTAATATTTGCGTGGAAGTTATCCGATATTATTCTATCATTCTTATCCGTTCTTTCTTGCTTTTTCCTTTCAACTACTTCTTTTACTCTCATATTTAGATGTCTAAAGGCTGCCTTTTTTCTTTCAATATCATCATTCGTACCGCTAGAATTACCAGCCTTTGTTGCTAGTAAATCTAGCCATGCTCTCTTCTTTGCTTCAACTTCCATACGTATCTCATCGTCCCACCATAACGTATTATTTTTCCTTTCATTCTTTCTCTTACTAACACCACATACTTCGGTAGCTGCATCCACTAAACCTTTCTTAACATTTTGCCATACATTGTAGTTGTATTTCAAAATCAAAAAAATATTAAATCTCTGTTAAAATGTTTGAAATGCATTAAAAAATAAGAATACAAGTCGCAAATATTATAATAATAAATATTATAAAAAAATAAATAATAATTCCAATTATTTTATAAATGCAAAAATGTTTAAAATTTTATTTATAAAATAATTGGAAATTATTATATTATTAATTATTAAATTGTTAATTATCATTATTTTATTAATATTATTTATAAAATAATTAGAAAATTGGTCAAAAATGATCTTATTTGTTCGTCAAATATATAAGTTATTGAGCGTGTTCATGTAGGTAGCAGCGTTATCTTGTATACATGGTGGGTGTTCGTGTAGAGATTGCTTATATCGGGGATATTTTTTATTATTATTATATCAGGGAGCTGCTAAAGGCACATACCCAAGGTTGTACATATATATGGGGTGGTCGGGTGAGCAACTACTATAGTACTGTTGCACAATATATAGTCATATATTAGGGATTTGTGATAGTAAGGTTTCAGAAGTATTATCATAGAAGGTCTCTATGATGTATATGTATTTCAATAGTTGAGAGAGAGAGAGAGAGAGTTGTGGATTGAAGTATATATATTAAAGATGATATAAAGTTAATATGTGGAATGTCTCAAATATATAAAAGCATTATATTAATAGAAATGGGACTTGAAAAAGATTTTTACTGCTTGGCCAGACTGCAAACGCGGACACAGGGCGGGCGCGGCGCGACGTACTCAAACATAAAGTCTTCCTTTGAGTGTCCATAGTAGCCACACGGACGCGAGGCAGATGCGGTGGAAGGCGCGGGTTAGTTGACGCGGGGATCGCGTGGGTATAGCCCCCCATAGCTCGTTCACACAAGTGGCCGCAATAAATGCGCGGACGGCAAGCGGCTAAATAAAACACGAAGAGCAGACATCTCAAACCACATCGAGCTAACCGCGCGGGTTGTAATGGCGTCTTTCGAAATAAAAGTAGAATAATTTATTTTATGAGACGATTAACTATGTTTTCTAATATATAGTCAAACGTAACGATTGATATTCTCCTATGTCCAAAAACTTTTCATTTTGCGCTCGCAATTTTTCATAAATTGTGTGAAATTCTCCTTCATTTTCTCTGGGTAAATTGATTTTATTAATACCATTTTTCAGAATTTGCCATTCAAAGTAAGAACTGTCCAGAAAAATTAATTTTTCTTCATCCATATTATAGTTTGACAAGCACTGATCACGGCAACACTCTGAACGAAGCCGCACTCCACTGCGGACAGTCATGTCGTGCACCCACCCATCAGACCGAGGTAAACTTGGACACCCTAACCGATATGTCCTAGACGTATTATCTTAGTGCTGGTAGTAAAATTATAAATTATAGCAACAAGGCCAGCCCGTGGACATTGCACACTCATACCGTTTGTGAGCGGCGCCTTAGCGCATAGCGTTATGATACGTCGGCTATCTTTCGGATTGTGACTGAGTGTGTTTGGTAGCACTTTTAAGTGTATCAAGCTACTCAAATCCATGTCTTAGTGCATTAGCGCTATGATACGTGGATTTTTGACTACTGGCGTATTAGTAGCGTGCTACTATGATATGTTAGTGTTATTTTTAGTTAATAACAATACCAATTTTGTTACCAAAGTCGATAGGGTCAAATGGGTGTGTTGTGAGGCGGTGCCATCTGTTTTGTTTTATTTATTTGCATTGATGCTTACTGCCACCTGCGATATTACGTCTTGTGATAGATCTGCGGGTGATCCTGATTCAACGCATTCTTGTGGTAGGTAGTGATGTTGTGCAGCATTACTTTTCTTCGACGGTTGTTTGGCGGGTCCCTATTCTTAATGGCGCTCTCTGCGTTTTGGTTTGACTCACATCTAAGTAGATTTGTCTAAGTCGGGTCCCTTCGTTACGGGGCTGCAGAATGTCTGACCTCCGTGATGTTTTATCCCTTTCAGAACGACGAAAAATTCTCCAGCTTCTCAAAAATTTTACATTAAATTCTAGATATACAATAGATAAAGCATTTAAAAGAATAATAAAAAAAATCCCCCGCTTTAAATTCCGCTGTAGGCCCCCCGCACGTACGTGCGCACTCGTTTTTAAGTGTGCTAATGCACGATCGTGCATAGGGAATAAAACAGTAAAAAAAATGTTTTCTAATATATTTACTCAATTATTATTAAAGAAAGTATTACTTTTTATAACACAGTATTTTGATATTAACTTCTATTTCAATAAATTTTTGTTCGTTTTACATATAAATTACTGCTAAGTCTACATAAATCGGTCTCTTTTATATAATGAACAAACAAAATATAATAATTATTATCTTAAGTACTATTATCTTCAAAATAGAAAGTCATTATAGACAACAAAAAATCAATACTTAAATGGTAGTATAGTAAAACCTAAAAATAACCGAAGCGAACTAAAATTTACCCGTCACTTGTAATGATGTAGTTTTTTAATCCGAGTGGTCTCGGTTTATTGTTTACTAAGACTCGCAATTTACGTTTCCCTGTGAAGGGAAAAATATGTTCATCGATTGAGTATTCACCTGCCACCCTTTTGAGTGACAAGCAAGCATTTTTAACAGCGTCGAGAATGGGCTGTACCTTCCACAGCGGATTTGAATTTCCTGAAGGTGGTTCATCTGAGGGTACTACGTGCATGTTATTCCTTAATAAGTAATAACGGTCTCTTGGCATTTGACTAATGATTATTTCCAGGCGCATACCTGTACGCCAGTACATAATATTAATTCATGGGTATGGTATACAGCCCACCAATAAAAGTATACCAAATAATCTGCGCATCTCGTGAAAGGTTGTGCTTAAGGACTGAACCAGTTTTACGCAGGTAGTACAAAATTGTGCAGTGTGCGATGTTTTTGAACAAAATCTTTATTGAAATATATAGAAAGATATTGCAGCATTCAGAGGTACAAGTTGAGAAGGAAAATTATGCTCCACATCAGTATATAAGTAATAGCTTTCCAGATTCTAGGTCTTTTTTGTGCCTGATGACTATTAGGCATTTCGAGGTGGCAGGAGTTTGTAGGTGGGGGCAAGTTGTCCTGATTTCTGTGCTGTAGCCCTGTCAAAGTCATATTTTGATCTGAGTCACTGTCGCTGTTATGGTTACCTGGTGGAATCTCTGAGGGTATATCACCTTCATCATCTAGTAGTCGAGGTACATTGACAGCCGATTCTGTCTCCTCATCCGATATCTGCAGGTCTGACTGACACCTATCTCCAAGCACATCTTGTAACCACTCAAAGTTAAAAGGTTTTCCTGAGAAAAAAACTGCGAGGTTATTGGTATGAACATTTAACTTAAAGAAAACAATTAAAAACGACAACGCACGATCGTGCGTTTAAATTTCGCGGGTCGGTTATCATACTTAAAACTTATAAAGTTGCTAGGATTATTTAACATTATTGTACGTGAACATTAAAATTAACTATTTTGATAAGAAAAATAATAAATATGATAAGTTATAATGAATTTACTTACGTCGACCGTCGCGATCCACAAAGTGAACGTCCATATTGAACACGTCTCGACGCGCCACTATTATGCTGTACTCCCACAAAACCCTTCGCATTTATACGGCGAAATGAACGCACAAACGATCGAAGTCGTTTTCACAAGGTAAAATAAAATTTAGTAATCAGTAGGTACAATTTTTTAAACGTCAACGCACGATTAGTACAAGCCGTTCTGAAAGGGTTATATAATCACAAAATAATATCTCTCTGTAAATTTCCCACCTTTGAATGACTAAAGGCAACTTGTTAGTGGGTGAGACAAACATGATCGAAAGATGCATATACTCGACGTCAGTTACACAAACCATTTCTGATAGCAAAATATTTCTATTATCTTATAACTGCTTTTTGGCTATATCTGCGTTGTATTGGTTGGTGGAGCATATGTGTCGAATCCATTCGATTTAAAAAAAAATTCAAATTCAAATTTATTTATTGCTAGAATGTAGTATGTACATAATATTATGATGTTATTAGTTATTAATGAGATCTTACATTCTACCATGATAATGGCGTGCAATATTTTACAGTAAACAAAAAAAAATATTATTAATACAATTTAATGAAGTAACTTATGAAGAAAATTAATTATGTGCCTATTCAAAAATATTTTAGTTTTAAGTTGTTAAATTACAATAAATACTACATGACATTTTTTTATTAAAATATTGTTTATATATATAGATGACAAAAATCTAAAAAATCAATAAATTTTCAAAAAAAACAATAAATGTTAATGTCAAAAAAATCAGTTTTTTCATATTTCACCATTATTAAAGTAGGATATGATTTTTATTTTCGGATGAATACATAATACAACATGTTACTATATTGTCATAAATTGCATCAAACTGTTGAATTTACATGCACTGCAATTTACTTATAAAGAAATATATGTTCCGGATTAAAATTTTTTTTATCGTAGGCCATTGAGCTATTATGTACTACGTACTAGAGGCGACATTGCATTCAGCTACTCTGTTCCACACAACTGCGGTGCATACACCGCACTTTAATCAGTCACTAGTATAAACACAGTAATCTATGATCAGTCACTCGCTAGGCGCTTGTAGAGTTGTCACGTGTTGTGTTGATTTAAAAAAATCTCTTGATAAAAATATGCCGTCATGTGTATTTAGATATCATACAAATAATTCAAGAAATGTCAGTAAAAACCAAGTAATTACTTTTAATCGGTTAATAAGATACTTAATCAATAAAAAGTATTATGGATTAATAATAAAACAAATTATTCCTAAGAAGCCATCTCGTGTCATGGAATATAGATTATGAAATTAATATGTTCAGATGCGACAATTCTGTGGGTACTTAACTAAAGAACGAATATATTATTAAGTATACACATTTTTTGTAGAAACATATATAAGTTATTATAATTAGGCAAAATTTTTTTATATTTAAATCTGCTTATTATTATTTTATTTTATTTTTAGGTTTCCACATCAAAGTCAAAGTGGAATAAATTCGTCCATTTTTAACTTTCGCGTGCCCAGCATTTAATGAACGACTCTTATTCTGATTGAAATAAATATATTTGTAATTTTAATGTTATGTTAATAAGTTTTGTTAAACATTCGTTCAGTATGTTTTTTTATATTTGACATAGATACCTTTTAAAATATTCAGATAAAAATATCATTAAAATAAAATCGTGATATAGTATTATGTAATAAATAAGCAAATATAATATACAAAATAAATGACAAAATTTAAATATTGTTCTCGATATAATTTACCTATTTAACAATACAATCTACTATTACCTACGGGTCATTCTACCTATGTTTATTCTATGATAAAAAACCAACCTCGCGAACACAGCGTAGCGCACATTTTTTGTTTGAGATAGCTGTTCTAGTACGTAAGTACATATTATTACTTCAATGTCGTAGGCTAATGGCGTAATAGAATAATAATGTCACATAATTATTAATTATTTTTAAATAGAATAAAATTTCAATGTTCAGTAAAATTACAGCGGTTCATTCGTTAAATTTGTAATCTAGAAATTCTTTGAAAAGGTACTTTCTGCAAGAAAATCATAGAGGTTTTTTTTAAACCTTGGTAAAGAAAGTGCTTTAATATGCTGAGGAATTTTGTTATATGTGTGTCTTTATATGTGTGTCACATATAAAGACAGCTTTTATTATACTTAGTCTAGGAATTGTGTCGATTACAAGTTTTTCAGGGTATCTATGGCTTCGAAAATATATACCTATTGCTATACTAAATAGATGGTTGTGCCGTTTAACGAACAAACAAATTTCATATATATAGAGGTAGGGAAATGTCAATAACTTAAGCTTTTTGAATAAAGTTCTGCATGAATCAAAATGGTGCCTTAAGAGTTATGACTCGTAAACATTATTTTTGGTTTTTTTTCGGGTTTATATTCGGGTGGTAGCTGGAGGGAGAATCTGAAGAGACTCTTAAGACTGCGGCCAAAAGCCGCACAACGTGGGACTCCAATGCTCTTGAGGTGAGCGATAGACTCATGAACTCATGATACGCTCTGTCACATATATATATATATATATATATATATATATATATATATATATATATATATATATATATATATATATATTTAATAGTTGATTGAAAAGGGGAAATAATATATAGGGGGAGGGGGGGAGTATGGTACCGTGGCGGCGCTGTCGTCGCGACGCAAGCGAAACATACCGAAGCCTATATCACGTCGGGATCACCAATGTAAGTGTGAAATAGACTATCATTTTACCACCCACCATACACACTTATGTCAAAAATATAAGATAAGATATATATACAAATTTAATTACGATTTTATTAGTTTTTTTGTTTTGACCTTTTTTAATTTCATTGTTACAAAAGAGAGTTAAAGCCTTATCGTTAGAACAGGCACCTTGATTGACTGCCTCTTTCGTCGCGTTTATGACTACTTGAGTCGTACACGCAGCTTATGAATTGAGGTCCCGAGTTCGAATTCTGGTTTGGGTCAAAATCAGGTTCTAGGTTTTTCCGACAAGAAATTCTCAGTAGCAGCCCGGAGTTAGGAAGTTGGCGGCTTTTTCCTCAATACCTTCGTAAATCTGACACGACCGGATATATCCGATTCGAATTTCGGTCACGGTGGCCAGTCTTAACGGAGACGAGCCATCTGCATAGAACGGGATTATATTGCCTGAGTGTATATGCAAGCATAGGTGCACTCGCTATTCCCCCACTCATATAGTCTGTTGGGATGGTAATCCGAAACCACTGAAGAGAGATCAGGCGCAGAACCAACGGCTTTACGTAAATTCTTAACACGTGGTAGAGCCACGATGTAGCTATATTATGGTTATAGCATGGATGGGTAGGCTCGATCGGGGCACCATGTACTCACAGAACAGCGTAAAATAGCATCCTAATGCTGCTGTGTTTCGTATGGTAGGTGTAGAGAACAGGTGATCTCTTTTTTCTGGAAGCGAGGTATTCCATCTCAGTCCTCGGGGACGATTTTTACCGTCTTTTTATCTGAAATTTGATTCACCACCGAACACGTGCTAAATCAGCACTTAATATTGCAATTAACAACTTCATGGCCGGCGTGGCGTCCTGTGAAATTTACAGCAAGTGCTTATAAATAGTTGGCTCTAATTAGACCCACGAGAAGAATCTGGGGGATAGTTTCCATTAGAAACGTGAAGAAAAAAATAAAATAGCAAATTTTTAGAACTTCTACATAGTTTAAGAAATATTACTTATACTAATTTGTCTTTAATTTCTGTCATGTTTTTTTTTGCTTCATTACAAAGATCTTTCAGAGATGATTTCTATAAATAAGACGTAGACAGAAAAATAAAATTCTATTATATTTGAGGAATTAATTTCTATGCGAGATTTTCTTTGTAACAAGAAAAATATCACGTAAAAATGTCCGTCAAGATTAGCTTTTTTTCTGATAAACATGGTCTGGTTCACAAGACTGCTTAGGGAAAAACCCATATAGTATTATTTGGTGTGATTGTAAACTATGTTCCAAAAGACTATAAATTCGATATCATTACTATATTTGACATTTTAATCTTCTATTATAAGTGTCTCATAATAATTTAATAACATGTACAAGTATCTTTAACAAGGATATCCTCCTTTGAATATTTTTTCTATAATAATACAGCTGGATTATTTCATATTTTTAATTTAAAAAAAAAAACTCTATCGTGTGTCAGTAACGTGAAATACAATATCCAACGCCTTTTTTGGGTGTATTTGCTGGCTTCCAGGATTAATGAGAGTAAACTTAAAAGAATAGCCAAAAATTTTATCCCTGGAAAATAGGTGATGAAGTCTTTGATGTAACTGTTTGGACGACATTCTGCTAGTTACCTTGAAATTGTGATACTTCTTGGTTCAATCAAACAGATAAAATATTAAAAACTTTAAAAAAAGTTGTACCACAGATTTCAAAAACTAATTAATTATAACAATGCACCTGAGATTAAGTGAATGCTGTGGCCCTATACACATCTACATCTATCCCTGATTGATAATCAAAATGCAGATGTATTGTCACTCCTGAGTCCTGAGAACTAAGATGGAATGTCTCGTTTCCGGTGAAAAGGCTCTCCTGTAATTAAAAATTATTTAATTAGTACATTATTTAAATTTTAGCCTGTAATCAAAAATAATTTATTTAGGGTGGCGTTTTATAAAACGTAGTGAGAAGGTATTTATTTACTACTCCTCATCTTGGAGTAACCGTAAGCCCCCCCCCCCACCTATTACGAGTTGCCAAAAAATTTTAACAACTACAATAGTTGGCGATATACTCAAACATCGAAAACCCCCCATTAAATAAAAAAAAAAATAATTAAACCGATAAAATCACTTAGTTAAATTAAAAATCGATATACATCTTCATAATAGATGAGAGTATTATACACCCGGACCAACCATAAGCTGCAGTACCAAAGATACAAGACGTCTTTTTCATGGTTAAGAGTGTTAAATGAGCACACATGCCAACTGATGGTAGGTTGACGCTGTGGTCAATATTCATCTTAATCTG